TGACGGTCTACATCACCTGTGATTATTTTTATTCCTTGTTATTATTATTGACTGAAACAAAATTTATCAAACCAATATCATGTATGCAAATACCTGACTATCTACATATATAAATTCAGTAAATGTTAGCACATATTTCTCATTGGAGAAAAAAACTGAACACGTCTATTTTCTTTTAACAGCCCTTCGATCACATTCTTAGTACCATTCAAAAGTTGAAAGATGTTCTTACTGCTGGCATATCTCACGACTTTCCATCTCATTTTCCTAGCATTAACTCTTGAGTGTCCTCGCTGTAAGCAAACATTGAATATGAGTTCATCAGAGATTATTAGTGCGTCTCAACTAGAATACACTCTAGTAGCTGTGGGAAGTTCAAGTTGTTTGTTTACACTGGATGTTCATTATACAAATAGGATAGCTTCTGTACGATTTGACGCTAATCGTAGAGAGCAGTTGATATTGTCAAACACACCACGCATTCTGACGAGCACTTTGATGATCTGGTTAACTTACATCAAGGTGGAACAAACCTATCAAATTATGTGTTTCAAAAGCGATTCTTGCACAACTGATGTTCTCAACAATATTTATTCAAATGGTAAGTTATGAGAATTGATGGAGTTTAAAGACTTTATCGTAACGTGAGAGAGCATGAAGAGGAGAATTCTCAATACTCGTTCCCCATAAATAACGTATAATGACGCGGAATGTATCATAAGAAGCGGTTAGGAATAACGGACACTTCAGTAATATAGCAGAGTCTTTCATCCATATGCAGCCTAAAAACGAAAACAGAAATAATTTGATTTTAAACAAATGTCTCAGGACAAAAGTGCAGTCTTCATCATTTTTTGCGATATACCAAATAAATGGAAAATCTTGCAGATTTTGTGAAACACATTAAAGATCAAGTATTTTTTTTATTCAATTACTCATAAATTAGATACTCTTTTGCTTTAGCCCGAAACCTCAACCATGAAGAGCTCTGGGCTAATCTTGTCACACGTTTGTATAGCCCTGTTGAAAATTCTTCTAATCTGCAATGTGCTGACAATCAAAATAAACCAGTATCCTGTCATCGTGGCTTCTGTCAGTTTATCAGCAGGGATGGTTTGAGTTCAGTTCGAAAATGTGTATTTGAAAGTTCCATTCCCAATCCTTACGGTGTTATCATAGAAACCAAGTCAATGTCTGAAACGGAAAATGAAACATCGTTAGTATACACATGCAACAAACCCATGTGCAACAATGCGATCATGGCCATGGAAGTACGAGATTTGTTGGCGATCAGGGGAATTTTGATGCCAACCACCACCACAACAACAACAACGACAACAGCCACTACTACCACAACAAAAACAACAACTACTATTAAAAGCAGAGCAAGAAAATTATCGATTCAATTGATTGTTGAAATTCAATGCGGATTTGTACTCTTCATGCAGTACATAATGGGACAATCGTCTATGCTCTGAAGGATTCAGTTATAAAGATTGATACTGATGCTGGACTTTGATGAAAATAGACTCTACATTTTTTGAATAGCTTTTTGCCGTTGCATGTTTTAGAGTTCCGACTGCTACCATTGGAAAGTAATCCCCAGAACATCGATACGATCTGTGTAGAATTCATCGCTTTTGTAAATCTTCTTAATGCTTATCTTTATAGCTTGATGTTTTTGTTTGTCAAAGACATAACTCATTATTTGACATTGAATTTTACCATTGATGCGAGAAGTAAACAACTGAGACTTCAGCCTTGAAGTCTGATGAAGTCATTGGAGTCTGATGAAATCTTTGAAGTCTCGGGAAGTCTTTTAAAGATTTGAGCTGCAGCTTTTCGATAAGCGAATCGAAAACAATCGACTTCATGCATTATTTCACATTTACCATGCAAATGAGCGCAACCAAAGTTTATTTCAAAACTCTTGGAATACTCAAAAACATGTGAATATAATGACAAAAAATTGGCGAAGCAGACTATTTTTTCTATGCTCTCTTGGATGATGATCTATTAAGAACATGGTTAACAACTACAGATCTGTTGTTTGTTTTATTAAACAAGAAAGAATTATAACTTGTAAAACAATTATTGCAATTATCAGAATCACTTACAAGGGTGCATTACCAACTGTCAAATCGCTTGTGAAATAAATATATGCTCAAAAGATAGACCTCAGCGAATTATCAAATGCCGTGAAAGGGTTTGGTTTTCAAGCCTCCTGAGCAGAGATACACAATTATGACTATAAATAGTTTTGCTATACTAGTATACTAATATATTCGAATCTTGACTAAATATGCTTCGATCTGGCTCAAATTTATATCAATACTAAGACACACAATATCGATTAAGATTCCAGAGTTTGAAGATAAGTCAGTGATTATTATCGAAGATATGAGTTTGTTTAACATACTGATTGATTATTAAAAAGCAGTATATGTTCTTGATCAAAGATGCAAATATTAATTCATCTAAAGTTTTCAGCATACATTCATTTCATAGTGAGCATGTATGTAAAAATGTCGGCTTATTTGTCAGTACTTTAGTTAATATGAATTCGAAAAATGAATTTGCATGCTTTCCATCGTGCAAAATTTTCCAGTAGCATGTTTCTGAATCAAAACAGAATCAGTAAAAACAAAAAATGGAGTGAATCATTTAATCAGCGGAAGTAATAGTCACAATAACTGCACCGAATAAGTGAACATGAGGAACCATTACGTACATGATATTTGTAATAGTAATAGAAATTATCCATTGTGATTAAATGTTTATAATTATATATTGCATGCGACCATCCGTTCCTCTAGGCCCTGTTTCTTTGACTATACATGTTATCATCTTTCTAACTATACCAGCACATATTAGGTATCTTTGCCAATTTCAATCATTAATGATTCTACGCAAACAACGTATTTAACAAAAACAAAGATTTTATTTTGGTCAGTGAAAAATACATGCAAGATATCGACATCTTTCGAAAATTAAGCTTAGCACATCAGTTAGTATTGCTATAAATTTGAGTCAGATGAGAGCATGTTTAGTCAAGATTCAAATATATCAGTACACCACGTAATACAGCAAAACTAATAATAGTCATAATCGTGTAGGTCTGCTCAGGAGGGTTGGAAACCCAAACACTTTTAGGATATTAACACTTCGCTGTAGTCTATCTTTTGAGCAAATATTCAATCCAAAAGCGATTTGACAGTTGGGGATGTTTCTTCGTTAGTCATCAATGTGACGAGGATGGTAATGATCAGTTCCTTAACGTCTGTTTGAATTTACATGGTTGTCGACACAGCTTCGTCAAATTTCTCATTGAGATGGAATGTGACTTGCAAAGACGAAATGCTAAGGATGAACATTTTACCAATGCACTATGATTGACAACAAATCGAAAACTGCTGAAATAATTAGTCGAACGACAAGTGATGCAACTTGATAATGCTTCCGGTGAAATAACGGTTACTTTAGTTAATTGAATAGAATGATCCAACTTTTTCGAATAGGATAACTTTTTTTGTATGAATTCAAAAATACACAGCTTAGTATCTAATATTTTGGACGTCGATACATTAATCCTATTTTCTTGTAAAACTTGAACATAACGAACTTATTTATGCTATGAAACGTTCACAAGAATTCTTCATTGTGAACGAGTCTTTCATTCATCCAAACGGTAACGAACTATTAGATGTGGGTGCGGTTATGGTTGAACAGAAGACCCATATCCTTGTAGGCTCTAATATAACCACTTAGTATGTTGCATTCGTTAAATGGGACAATATTGATATTTCTCTCAATTATATTGTTAAAAAATATGATTTAATGAAAAAGATGCTTTCAACTTTAGCGATCAGTAACGAAACTCAGAAACGAACTAATATTAGCCTACATAATTGATTTCTTATAGTGTTGTCCGTTGAGCATTGTAAGAGATAGATTTTAATATTTAGCGAACCCAAAAAAGAAAATAAATAAAAATAAATAAATCATTGGCTGCAAACTTTGTAATCACTATTTTAGAGTCAATAATTCTGCATGATAATCAACTGGTTATCTGACAAAAAAATGACCAATTTAGCAAGAAGTTTATGGTGAACTATATAGACTTCTGGATTACTCATGGATTGTTGTTACAGAAAGATATAAAAAAAAATACTATACGTCAAAAATATTCTCATCTAGACGTGTTGATTTATCGACATCCGAATGTAATTCAAAAGTGTATGATCTATTGATATTTGAATCACTTCCAAGGAAAAACTATATTTTAAAGACAAATAACTCATTTCTATGCAGCGCGATAAGAATCCAAATAATCTCATATGCAACCACATTTAGTCGAGTCGAATTCAGTGTCAAGACCATATTGAGACACTTTTGCGTCATCCTGTCTTTCGATGATAATGACCCATTTGATAATTTGCTCTCGTGGGTTTTTAATACAAAATTCATCTTTGCGATCCATCTCATGATTCAAATAACATGTGTCATATTCCTTAAGCCATCCACCGAATTTAACAAAATGATGTAGATTTGCATTATAATGAGGATTATTGAATATTGGAACGATCTGTTTCTTATTAATTTCGAACACTTTACCCATACGAATTTCGGCAATAATTCAAGCACCATGGCTGTTGGCTTTTCCAAAAGTATCCTCAATAGATCGTGCAAAATATGCACCACTACCAAGCATCCCTGACGAGCTTGGTCTAAAGTCGCTATGTGCTATGGCAACTGCTGCTTGAGCTGTCGTAGTGTGGAAGCCTATATAAGTCGCATTAAGATCAACAGCATTTAATTCGTGCCAACGAGGTTGTAGCTTGTAGTCTCCAGCATGAAAAATGACGATATGTTCGAGCATTCGATTTGGACACGGATCTGTATTACATGGACGATCACGCCATACGTCTTTTTGTCGTCTTTCGCCTACGAAGTGGTAGGGTAAATAGCGTTTATGCTCCGATGAATGAAAATGACATCGAATATCACACTTTGGCCTATAGTGCCACCATACAACATAACGATACATATCGAGGAGAAAGGTACCGATCAGAAAAAGAAGCGAGAAAGGACAGGCATAGTAGGTGAATGTCATTCGCACCTTGTTCTCTGTCAAAAGCAAAAAAAATATCCGAAATAAAATCTATCATTTAGAACTGTTGGTTTAGATGCTAAAACTCACATGAGTTCTTCACATTTTTGCCTAAATGCAATTCTAAACAAGGCGAATTAAAACTCACTAAAGCAAAATTTAAATCAATTTGTTATATTTCGTTTGACACTACTATAATTTAAACTAATAATCCATAGTAAAACAGCTAGTTTCATATTTCTGAGGAAATTGTATGTGTTGCTAGAGAAATGCATGATATGTGATGAAGTCAAGCGACACAAGTAGAGATACTTAATAAAGAATAGATAGAAAGAAAAAATAATTCATGCTTTTCTTCGATATCTTCCGATTTTCTTCTTCTCAAACAAATACAAACGACTAGACCAGCCGAATACCATTGTCTATTGCTTTCAGCTCAGAACTGTATTCTAATACAGACAGTTGTTTTAATCATAAAATAAATTTGTGACTTTGTAATTACGTACCATCTAAACTTGTATCGTATGACATAACAATGAATGATATCCTAGTGTTGTAAATATTGTTTTTGCCTATTGACAAATAATTGGTTGACTCTCTTATTGCGATAAGGATTCTTATTGCTTTACTTTTCGTCAAAAATGGACACAGAATCGAGCCATAAAAGCACAACGGCCAATCTGTATATCATCAGTTTCTGTCGAAATTCGGTACATTAAAACGAGTGTTTGCCAGAAAAGTATAATTACATGCGCGCTTAAAGAATTCGATTCAATACTCCGTAAAATTTCTAATAATCTTTTTATTTGAACATGTTTCTTATAGAAATATTAAAAGTTGTCAGAGCACTCACTGTGGGGTTAAAGTGTGAAATATGATATAGCTGCTGTTACTAACCATAGAAATATTGTTTTATTTGACATATCTACTAAGGGCAAATTTCTTCACATTTATTTTATTGTATCATTCAGAAATGAAATAGGGAAATAGTTCATACATTACAACAAACTCGTATTAATAAATAATCCGAGATTTTATATTAACAACGTCTATCAAGATCTATGAGAAGAAGAGGATGAAAATTTTCTACTCTGTAAACGTCAACACTTCCTTTAGATCGCGTTTCTCAAATAATTTCCGAAAGCTCATTCATTCAAATATGATCACAAGCAAAACCTGTCGCGGAAAAACGTCGAAAGTATATGATTTGCATCTTTCAACTAGAGCAAAGATAACCAAGGAAAAAAATCAACCATATGAATGATATTCCTTTTTACACAAATATAAGAAGACAATAAGCTTCGAAAACTGAAAAATGTAGATTCTTACTAATGTGACTAACCTTCACTTGAGACTCGCCAATACAACAAGGTAGCAACATCATGCAACACAAAGCATATAATGAAAAAAAGAAATCGAACTTGAAATCGAAGTTTTGGCCGTGCATTGTAGAATGGACAATTGCAGTCAAGTGTAATGAAGGAATGAAGAGCTTTGAGATTGTTGAGAACGCGGAAACGGCCACTCCGTTGTCCATTAAGTAGACTCACCTGATTTGAAACATAAGAACATAACATACAAGAGCAACATTGCAAAAAAAGATCGAAAAAACTATAATAAATAAGCCCATGATAGCAATAGTGACAGAGCTAATACAATCCATAATGAATGGAGCAATATAATAATTTCCTTTGATTGCGGGAACGGTCTCATCATATAATTCCATGCTGAAATATAAAAAAGCGACTCTTGCAACAAGACTAATACTATCACCAATAAGCAGAATTTCTAACAGTAAGATTCGACACTTGTAAATACTGCAACAGCTCTAGAAACACATTATTTTTGTTAGTAACTTAAGACAAATACATATAAGACGTATAGAGAATTGCTGACTTGTTTTGTTTCTTATCATCAGTCTTGTCAAGGGGTATAATAAGAAAGTAGTAACAATCGAAAGATAAAAATGCAATAAAATGCTCTAGTTGTAGTATTTTATAAGTTGGAAATTAGTCTTTAGGGGCATTGATGTGGGTAGTTGTGAAGATCGATATCCTCTTAAACAACACCGACACCCTGACAGTTAAGTTGATAGCAGTTAATTATGTGAGCATATACGATGGGTATCACTTTAACTGGTTGCTTGGTTTGGTTGGTAGAAGTGACAAATTGGATATTCAGTTAAACTGCTATCTAGTTCAGTGGAACTGGTGCATTCGTAATCATATCTTTTTTTTTACTTTATTACTGTGACAGATAAATATCAGCAACAGAACGTATATATATATAAGCTGCGTTTAAAATATTCTTGTCGCACTGTAAGACAGTACAGGACAGGACAACAGAGCAGGGTAGAGCGGAAAAATTCGCCCTGTGGACATCTCTGATCGGGATTTTTGCTTGAATAAAGAGGTTTTGAGAGCTCTCATTGTGATATTCGTGGCCAGCACCCATGAATTTAAAGCCACATTTGGTTTTGACTAGTTAAAAAAGTGTTCTTTTCATGATACGCGTGTGGGATCCCAGGAACGTTTCCGTATTCGACAAACAAGAAACGCTCACACTTTTGAGCGTGTGCTGTACACCTCCACATAAGATAAATGCGTAGATATCTCGAATGTAGGGTAACAGTGAAAGCTAACACCAATTACTTTAAGATTACCCACGTAAGTTGCTTCGTGCTTCAATTGAGAGTATGCGATGATTAACCGTGAAGAAATCCAGAGACGACTACAGAAAAGAGAGAAAAACGTTGTGTACATGTTTGTAGCATTCAAGAACATGTTGATTGTCAAAGTATTGAAATGTCGATAAGAAAGAGATACACTAACGAGGACAATGCCGGATAAAGATTACCGACAGATGAAAACGTCGAAACAAAATCATACAGTAAAACACAACGATGAACGGTACTCAAATTCATTAATTCAGTTGTCGAAATAGGTAAGTTCTCAAGCTCTTCCAACCACAATTTACATAAACTCTGTTGATTTCCAACGAATTCTGTGGTACTAGATTCTGGCATAGAATTCATCGGACGAACTTCGGTAAATTCTAACAAGTATCAAGTGCACTTTTATCTTAGCGGTCTCATGAAAGTTCGTGATCAGATCCAGCTGCAAGCAACTTGTCGAAACTCAACGAATGATAGAAGTGTAGACACGATTCTTCTTTCCTCACACCACCACTCATTTCTGAAGTCTTGAAATCACAATGTTAAAAATTATATTCAAAGAAGACTATGAACCATGCATATAACTAATCTTAGAGTTTCACTTTTCTATAATAATATCTTTCTATTAAAAACATTTTACAAAAGAACAAGATGATCATTTTGAACATTTTTTGCCACGGCGTCACATACGGCAATTGATAGATCAACATAAATCGTATCTTTTAGAGTGGTTGCTTTTTATGGAGACCATTTAATAGAAAAAGAGAACAAAAGTATAAATGTCATGATTTTAATTCTTTTCTCTTTTCTTTTCGACTCTTTTTATTAGTATATTGTTTTTTGTTCTTTCTCTCTTACCCTTCCTTTAAGGTAGTTGTTTAGTTGCTTTTATTGATTCTCCTGATGTTCTTACAAATATGAGCTAGTACTCATAATTATTGCATTGTTAGTAAATTATCAAACGCTCTGCATTGATGTTGATACTTCCAGCTTAAATTTCTCCTTTTTGTTCTTCATTATCGGTCTTTCTTTATCATGATGCAAGAATTTTTGAGCACTATATCCACTAGCATCAATAACAAGCTCAAAGTTGTTCGTGAACTTTTATTTCATATCTGATCTGATGCTTTCTAATAATCTGAGCGTAATTAGTTGCAATATGTATACGACTCATAAAAATACTTTATTTTTACTTTTCAAATCAATCGTCATAGGTAACGGAACGTGTAAGCTTGAAAGGATTGAACCTCATTTGAATTGAATACTTTTAGACTCAGCCCCAACTGAATTACGTCTCTAAGATTTGGTCACAGTCAAATTTGGCGTTGTTTGGTTAGGCGGCACGTATTTTAATGCATAGTTTGCTACTTTTACATGTTTATCCACTTACTGAGATGAAAAAAAAATGAAAAATTCAGATGACAATAAAGCTCACTATTTATGTTGTCGTGGTCCTTGATGGTATCTTCTATTTTATTTATACCGAGTAGTATGTAAAACAGATCAAGCATAAAATCATGTGCTCAAAGGGAAAGCATCTGCTAAGAAGTGTTTGTCTTCTCTTTTGTGATATTGTCATTAATTCACTTTTAGTGCCAACGCTCACATTCGTGGAATGAGAAAAGATAAGCCTTCTTGGATTGGTTGTGAATGAGTGTTAGTGTCAATTTTGTATTCATCGACACTCACACCCTAATCATAATGACATTTGAGTATTGATGAAAATGACAAAGCTATAAAAATAGCTGAAAGTCTTCAACAGAATTTTCAAAAAGTTAAAATTATCTCCATGTATAGTTGGTCAAATACGTACAATAGAAGAACTAATTTTAAAATTTATACCTCAAGGCCTCTAGTTAGAATGATATTAGACAACCTGTCAAGCAAACCCATCAAGAGGACAATCCACTGGTGATCATGTGAGCCCTCACTCGTTCTCAATGATTCACTGAGCGTCTAAATAAGCATTCAGCTGCAAACTCATATCATTTACTAAAATTTTACTGCACCCTCCTAAGCTGTCCTATTCAAGCTCGAATACAAGAATACACAAAGGCAATTGCCAGCATTCTGTTTCATCCAAAGTTAGATGAATTCTTAGTTAAAAAGAAAACTGTCTATTGCGGTATAATTCTTAACGATAAGAAGGGTGTGGGTATAGGTATTGTTTAAGAGTATATCAATCTTCACACCGACAAACAAGACAAGTTCAATCTACTCTCATTAACTCTTGATTTTCAGCTATTGACTAAGTTCAAGACTAAATAATTATAGAATGATAAATTCATGTGCTTTGATTAGAAAAACTAAAGAAACGCAGAGCTAATTTCATCGACGCGTTTAGTGCTTTTGATTCAAATATAAATACTTATCCGGGCTCTATATGATATTCTTTAAAGATGTGGTTCATTGGAATGAGCAATAAATTCTTGTGGTAAAGTTGAAAGTCTGCGAAAATCGTAGTTGACGAAATAGGAATTCGGCGAGAATGGGCTAATGGGACGAAACAATACATTGGAACATTGAATTATTGTCATTTATTTCAATGAATTTCTGAAAGCAGAAATATTCGTTTGAATAATTCGCACACTTTTAATGTCTGCAATCGGTTCGTATTAGTAATCCATAGTAGAATTCTTTCTTTGTATAACTTGTAAAGGCTGAAAATTTTCATTCAGTGTTTCATTCATTTATTCGATTAACTGTTTTAAATAATCATTTGTATCGATAAAAAAAAATATTTTCCATGATGGAAATATACCTTTAAATTATCATTTTCAAGCTTCTAGTGAGTTCGATATTTCGTTAAAATGGTATCAAGATATATTTATGACTACGAACAGAAAAAAGCACAGGTGTGACTGTGGCTGTGAGTGTTGGCGTTTGGGTTGATATTCTTGTCGCCTACCCACACCCTACAAAATGATTTTGTTCTTATAAGCTTCAGTAAGGTGAAAATAATTCGAAAATCGAGTAATATTTTTTTGATATTTTTACATGGTTCGATAGAGCTTATCGAGTTGTACGAAATTAACTAGATTGAAAATTTTTTAAACGCTTTGTTTTAGACAAAATTTACAAACAACTCTCATTTTTTATATAAAAAATAACATTTTTTTTTCATAAAAAAGATAAAAATGCGAGCTTTATGTACATTATTTACATAGTTTTTTTGTAAATTTATCCCAAAAAAGGATTTAAAACTTTTTTGATTTAGACAATTTTGTAGAACTTGACAAGCTCTATCAAACCATGCAAAAATATTTAAAAAAAATATTACTCGATTTTAGAATTACTTGCACCTTACTGAAAATTATGACAACAATATCATTTTGTAGTTTTTTATGCCATTTTTTTGTTAGCATTGAAGTTTGTTTATTTTTATTGTATTTTATACTAGATGGTTTTTCGTATTAAACAGGTGTAAATGTATATAGTACTTAACCTCTACTATGCAGGTATTTAATGAAATTAAACCAATGTTGTATAGTTTTAATACACGACATAAAACAAATAAGTGGTACAAGATACTTGACCTGCCCTGTAAAAAAAGATTTCTTGTCTAAAAATAAATATTTCTTTAATAAATTTTACCAAATTTGAATATTCATCTAGCTGATTATTTAATGATTGTGTTATTTGTTCATTAATATTTGTTGTTCAAATATTATTTGTATTTTCAAATGTTTTCTATTTAATTAATTCATCAAAAATCACATCAGATATGTCACGAATAAGATCAGCATCACCATCTCGAATACTTGAAAAGAGAAATTCAAATATAAAACTTTGTTCATTGATATCTTACCTTGTTTCACAATATTTTTCAATTGTCTTTTCAATTGACTGAGAATATTGATTTGGAAAATGATGAATTAATTGAGCAGAATCTCGTTGTTGTTTAAATAAAAATAACTGATGCTCACGAATATGACTAAGAATTGATTGATTAAATATATTATTAATATGTAATCGTACAAATCTAGTAGAAAAATCCTTTTTTTTTGTTTGATAAAAATATTTATTTTTTAATCACGTACGGAATTAATTGAGATATTATTTGTTTAATTTGAAAATCAAGTGTTTGCACATCAGCATTATTTAAATCCTTCATAAAAGAAGTATCATCTCTTTTTAATTTTAAATCTATTAATTAAAGTATATTAGTTGTTGATGCATAATAAAATGATGATTGAATATTCAATATAGTTGTTGAAAGATCATTGTTTTGTTGTTCATCTTCACCATTACTATCACTAAATGTATTTTCTTATAATTGTTGAATATAATTAAATAATTTGTGATTGGTGAAGATTGTTTTTCATTATCATTTGTTATGGATCGTCGATGAATAACAAAAAATTTTGAAAGATTTTCTTTTGATGATTTATGATGATGATTAGAGGAGATTTCGTATTCATCAGATATTTGTTTTGGACACAAATGAATCTGTTTTGGTGATGCTAAACGTTCACTAGGCAATGTTGCTTAAAAAATGAAGAAGAATTATTTTCGTGAGATAAACACGTTCAATAGATTAAGAAAAGAAGATAAAGAGAATAGAGATTTTTTTTTAGCAAAAGTATACAATGATCTTGTGGCGAAATAAAAATGATTCTTTCTATCTTGATGACCAAAAGGTTATTTTGTTGGTAAATTTTAGTTTAATAGAATAGAATAAGATTAATTACATGAAAGCATTCGTGACCTGTTTTCTATGGATTGTGTTTTTGTCTTTAGCAGATCATGTTTGTTATATTTTAATAATATTAAATTCTCTCATTTTAATATTCACCATTTGAACAAAAAGTTTGGAAAAGGCAAGAGAGAAAAAGCGTATCTCGGTATCCTTCCTGTATCTCCATCAGATATCAAACGGAGGAGCAAAGAATGGGAAATTCCTAAGGATAGGAGAGGAATATAAGATTCTATGCTGATTCGAAGGATATAATCAAAATACGAAGATTCAGTGAGGATATCAAGAAAGAAAACCGCAGACCCTGATATCCTCCGTGTCCCAATCGTATTTCTACCGTATCCGGGATATAGTGATCTACTTTTTCTTCGTGCAAAAAAGTGTGTTGTTGTGACATTATTTTTTTTATTTTTATTTTTCTTCTCTTTTAAGCTATTTGTTGCCATATGCAAGTCGCTCTAACAATTCTAGAGTTATTGAGAGTTTCAGTTTGCTAATGAAAAGCCTCTTAAAGTTCAAAAGATTTTGCTAGAATTTTTAACAAAAGCCGTTCTTTGATCTATGTTACAAATCTTTTAGTATTCTATTGCATATAATTTGTCCTAAGTACCATTTCTTTCACGTTTAGTAGATCTTGTTTCCATATTATTTTTATTTAGATGAATAGCAATTTCTTTTCTAGTACTTTGACTATTAAATGATGTTTTACTTGAATTTCCAAATTTATTATTTATTGTTAAAATATGATTGTGTTGCTGTAGATGTTTATCATATCTTGAACATAGTTGTGAACGAATTACTTTTATTTGATCTAAAGTATAAATTGAATGCGTGGAATTATCTCTTAAATATAAAGGTGATCCATCATAGGATGATGATAATGATGATGTTAAACGATTATTTTCTGATTCAAGTCCATTTGTTTCTGATTGTAATATGACTATTTCACGATAAGAAATTTTTATATTAACAATAAGACATTGAGTAAGAAGGGTCTGGATGTGAATATCGATGAAGAGAAGATCCACATCCACAACCACACTCACACCTAGACTCGCCCTCACCCGCATCTTACTTGGTAACGAAATTAAGTTAAAGCACGAAAAAGGCTGAAAAATAGCCAAGAACGAACCAACATTTTATTCGAATGATCGAAATTACTCTAATTAACTTTATTAGCTGTTTTCATCGTTGATTTGCAAAACTCATAATCTGAAGGAAAATTTCCAAGCCTGAGTTGCTAAAATGTTTTGAACTTCGATCAAGGTTTTCTAAAACAGAGCATACGTGCGCGATTCGCACTCGTCCATCGGTGGAATCCATTTTCTATTAGAAGTTTATGACAGAGGGAGAAATCGATACCAAAGGTAACATATTAAATTCACAAAACAAAGTATTCGATGTTAAGCTGTATTGATAAGTGTTGACTATATTTGGAAACTCTTCTGACTTGTGAATCGCTCGATATAAAGCATAAATCTTTGTCACATGAAGACCATATTTTGTATGCTCGATGCCATGATAACTCTTGAAGAATTTCATATTTTGGACTGAACTTTTCTTTTGCAGAATTATTTAAATCAGCTAAGTTGTTATGCAGAAATCACTAGTATAAAAATGTGTTGCAACATTAAAGAAAGACTACCTATCTATCGTTTATCTTTTTACAAGATTGCTCATCCTTCATATGGCGGGCTTCTAATCTTCCTAATGATTGGTATTTAGAGAGCCCGCTATGTACGGTTTGGTGAAGCCGAAAAGAATTGCTTTCTCTCGAGCATTGCTTAGTCTGCCGGAGATGGTGATGAATTCTTCTGAAAAATAACAAAAAAAAAATTAGAAAGCTTGAAGTCTTATTAGATAAAAATAAGATAAGTCGCTGATACTTCTTAGACAGACTTAATTCGAAATATCAACTTGTTTTTAACTTTGGTGAACACATACGATTGAACATAGAAGTAAAAATCAGCAAATAATAGTACTTCTTCTTCATCCGAATAAGCTGAAAGCCAGGATAGATCGATATTGGCATAGGAATCAATGCCAATTTTCATGAGTACATTACCAATGCATTTTGCTGCTTCCTTATTTCGACTTGTTGATGTGAAAGCTTGAAATATATTAAGTTCACTTGTGCTTACTTGTCAATATCATTCAATCAAGTCATCTGATAATTGACAACCTCGATACAGTGTAGTATTTTCATTGTGAAGTGGCCTCAGTTCATAAAACAGGAGTGCAAATAGGTCGAAAGTAGACACCTTGGTTTTCAAATAGGGATTATGTTTTTCATCGCCCAGTAAACGCAGTATTTCATTCAGCTCTTTGCAAGTTTGTTCAGTAATAACTTAAGCATTTTTGAAGTTATTTAACTTGCTTATATGGCCGGTATCCGGTTTCTGGATATATGAATACAAAAATGTACTTATCATGTAGAGACGAGCCCAAGCCTTCCAAACTTTTCTTCTGTTCCATTTTTGACGCGAAGCAGTTGTGGCACCATCTCTTCAACATCTTGTTCTTTTCCTATCTGCTTTCCTACGATGATTAGGTTTTCAGTTGCTTTTTCTACCAGCATCCGACGAGTAGAGATATCTTCTAATTTAAAATACGAAAACTCAAAATCCTTAGATACCACTCCAAGAACAGATATCCCATAGCCTTCGCCGCATAAGAAAGATCGAGAGACTATCACAGAAATAGGCACGGATAAGAATCTTTCAAACAGCGTTCACAAAAGACGTTTCTTGTGGAACCGTTAGCAGACTCGATTTATTTAATATTGTTGCAGTATATAGGAATGAATGTTTTCTCTGAGCCTTGTCTTTAGTTGTATAATCAAAATAATTCTATGGCAGTTTTCAGAAATATAGCGTGGCTTTCCAGAGATTCTCTAAAAACTTCAACCTCTGGATTTATTTTCAGAAAAAAAATTACTGATGAAAATACGCTCCTCGATTGCGGTTATCAAACGCTGAAAATCGCCGGTCTGTAAGTTGTTCCTATCGAAAGTTATTTAAAAAGCACCCGAGTGCTTTGACATCTGGTGTCGATAGTAGAATGTTTTTCCTTTGTGCAGTTTGTTAAGTGCGAGATACACCATTTTTCCAAATTGCGCCATCTGAAACTAAATCAATGAATTTATCTATTTCGAATATTCTATTGAGATAATAAAGTGCGTAACATATCCTGTATCATTTCATAAGTAGCTATTGAAAAATTGGAAAAGAAACTTTTAGTGAAAAGCTATATTGCCAAAAAACTTGAAGATAGCGAATTTGTTACTGGTCTTCAAAACTGTTCTCTGTTTCGCAAGTATCGAAGCAAGAGCCCACTGGTTAGGAAAAAACATGACATGTAAACAGGACTTAATTCGTCAGTTGCCGCTGTAAAGACGCCGTTAATGAACGTCATATGGTCGTTTACGAGCAGAATAATGATAAACATGGGTACTTGCTATTTTTATTTTGTAATCAATATATTTCTTCAGCCGATTGGAATTCATCGATTTCTTATTATGACGTAGTAAGCATTGATGTGCTGAATCAATTTTCTGCAGATAATACTGCTGTTTGATAATTTTACTACATCATGTGTTAGAATGACAGCGGATTCTCACTTTTAAGACACTAATTTTTCTTGGCAACACAGGCATTAGAAATACCGTTTGAATGCATTTGTGAAAAAACACGCTGAAATATGTTGAAAAGAAACTCTTTTTTTATTTGGAAAAATCTATTACTAAAAAAACTATTTGTTCAAGCGTGAAAATAATATTCTTTTTTAATTTTGCGTTGAGATGAACTTTTTTGATGAAAATTTTTTCTTGGCAACTAGGACACTATAATTAATAGGAAGTACGAGTGACGAACATTTTTTTTTACAACTATTTCATTTGAAGAGCTAAAAGAATACCAATGAATTTGGCAGCCTGTTGCTTCGATTCAATTATTTTTTCTGCAGTAATTGAATCCAACAGTAAGCGAATGAAAGCGTTCGAAAAATTGCCAATCTTTATGAAGTACACTTAGCTATAGTGGATGGAAGAAACTATTACATTCTTTAGCTGGTTGCTGTTCTTGGAAATGCTTGTGGTAGTCAGAAAGATTTATTATATATTAAAATTGTTTGCTGTTCACTGTTCTTTATACTTGGAATCTTGAAGTCATAGAACTGTTGGTTTTATAACTGTGGACACGAAGCATTAAGTAAGTCAAACATTGTTGATACAATCCAACAGCATAGTGCGCAGTACGTATATGTTACAGGCATGATTAAACTTAGACAGAATTCTTTTTTAATTAGGCGCACAGATGAAGAAATAATATTCCTTTTTTTAAAAACAAATTGTACTTTTTGTTTGTATTAAGAAAACATGGCAGTTGCCTATTTTATAAGTGGAAAGATTATTCATTTTCATTTAATCCTCCATTAATGTAAGCACTAATCGCTTCGTCTACGTCCAGTTCGGAAAACGATTTTCGAAAGCATTTTTATGAACAAGCGAAGTGATCTTTTGAATTTTTGAGGTATTAAATTTCAAGAGAAAGCAGCTATTATTTTACTGCAGGCAATATATCAATTGAAAACTTCTTCATTTTGTGGGGTTTCAAAATAACTCAACAAAGCTTAGCAGTATAATATACAGTGAAACAAATACAAGGAGACACCGAATTCTTTCAATTTTTTCTTTGTCGATCGATAGTTAGTTATCATATTTGGACCGCATACACTTTTTAGCGAAACTCAGAAGATCAGCATATCATTAAGCTTTCGATATAAGAGTTTGTAAGAGAAACTTCATTTGTCTTGTATGCACTTCAATACGAGTGTCACAAAAACTTTCTGTTTTCAAATCGAAATCAATTGATTTTCTTTACTGTGTCATGTTTTTGATTAGTTTTGTATGCAAGAAGTCTAAAAAAACGCGTATAAACCAATAGAATTCGAATCATTCTGCACATTTTGATGCGAACAGGCAAAACAATCGAAGCATAATGGGACACGAAAACTGTAAACTTTTGAAATAATCGATGCAGAGTACACAATCGACATTTGTACGATTTTCAACAATTCATACTACCAAGGGCTAATTATACACTATTTATCTGAGTACTATCATCTAGTTTACATATGTAGTCCAAATATGAGATCTAACTATCGATTTATACAGAAAAAACTGAGATGAATTCATTGTTTCCTTAATTTTGGTTTACCCTGAGTTTATAGATACTTTGTATATCATGTATGAACCACGTTAAATTCGAAGACAAATAGACACCGATAAAACTTACTACTCAAAGAGCATAAATTTAATGATCCTTATTTTTTGGTCGAACGGATGTTGACAAACTATGTCTACTGAGAATAGTGACGAACTGTACAATCAGCTCTGTGTTCTCATTTATTTTGGTAGTTTTTAAAATTTCAAGTCTTTTAAAAACTCTGTTGAATTTTGCCTGAAGCTCAACATTGCCTGACACCTCTATTCATTTTTTTTTAGATCAATGAGGATCGTTAGAAGTGCATTTCGTGAACTACTTCAACTTAACTTGTTTCGTGACATCAAGACAAAGCGGGAGGAACATGAACGATTGCTACGTGAACAAGTGCTCACCACACATCTCTATTTGGTTCTTCTTATCACGAGCATCTTTATCCTTACGCTATATGTCAGCTTAAGTGAAAAGACTACTCGAGTGACGATACAGAAGCCTTCACTCGCCACGTACAATCATTTGGAAGTCGCGTTTCCAGATACGTTATCATGTGCCTGCCAGCAGATTGCTATTCCATATGCAAATTTCCTTTCGATCCAAGTCACATATCATCAAGTAAGTGGCTTAGTACAAGTCGAAAAATGAAGTCAGGCTTTGGGAAGGGACAAATTTAGCGCAGTTTCGGGAACCATTTTGTATGCTTCCACATCTCATCCCTTTATTTGTCCTTAAGATTGCACACTGTTCCAAGCTTACGGCCGAACATGTCCAGAAATTCATTCGGTGCTTTTCTACTTCGGTGAAAATTCTGCCGCTTAAGGTGATAGACCAATTCGTTGCAACATTACTTTTGAATGATATGTTTATCGTGGTGTTCTTGTCGCGTAAGGCTTCAGATCGGTTAAGAATATTGATAAAAAATTGCTGTAACTATGAGAGCTGCTTTATTCAATCGAATTTTTAATCGATGCTGATTAAATATTCAATTTA